CGGCAACAACCGGCATCCACCCAGCCTAGGCGCTGAAGAGGCAGCTGCGAGAGACATCCACTCTGTGAGGTGGCCCTATGGCTCGCCGCACACAGCAGCTTACCGAGCGATCGGCGTCCACCGCCCCAGGCGGTGTCACGACGCCCCGACGTTGAGCCGCAATACAAGTCAGCAACGACGCCCGGCTCCCTGAGCCCAAAGAAATAGAAGAAGCTATTTACAGAAAATCGGACCACCCACGAGGCTTCCTTACTCACTCGCTTCGGGCCTGGCGTACAAACCACGTGCTCTAAGCCTTGCTCACCCCAGGATGCAGACCGCATGGCTCTCGTCCCAATCCTACTACGCTTTTGAAAACCAACACCAACAACAAAAAAAAAAACCACTTGCGAGCTAAAAAAAAAAAAAACTCAACCTGCCGACAAGTTCAAGCACGTCACAAAACCAATCTCCTCGCTTCTCTGCAAAGCACACCGCCGATGCTAGCGATGAGACGACCCCACTAGGCCTACTCCACCCCGGCTCTAACAAAAAGCTTGTACCAAACCGCAAAGACTGTCATCCGATACTCCAAGAGCTCCACGTTGGGCAGCCAGTGTGGGTTCTCGACGAGGCGAGCGCCTCGCCACGCTTTTGGAGTTAACGGACATAGTAGACGCGGTCGGGGCAAACAAACACAACATACATTATTTAACTCATTTATAACGACGATATCGTCCGCTGAACTGATACATCAATCGTAATCCGCCCGCGAAGACATTCTTACAATTTCTATACACCCCAAAGTATTGTTACTGCATATGTGATTTCGGTATGAGCCTGTGGGTAGCGGAGAACAGGCAGATTAGAAAGAGGATGTTCGGCTAGCGATATAGACCTCCGGTGCACGACCCCTTGAAGTCTACCAGTACGCCACAGCGTAATAATTACAATACTAAACGTAACAGAGTGGTGGAGGTGCGTGATACAGCACGTCGACGAACCACGGCGCCACAGCTGTTTGAACTTCGCCGGAGCCGTCGTCTTGCTGGTCTGCCACCGACAACAACCATCATAACAGAGAGCGAAGGTCACGGCTCCTCAACCACGCAAAGGTCAGTGCTGGCTGCACCTCGGTATCGCTATATAGAACCCCGCCCGTTCGCGGAAAGAGCAGGGGAAGATGTGGATGCATGGCTGACACATTACAAAAGGGTGAGCCGGTACAACGGCTGGAATCCCACCGACCAACTGGGAAATGTCGCAGCAGGTCACAAGAACTGGGATGACGTGCTACCTTTCATCACTTACGCATTTCACACCGCACAGCATGAGACTACCAGCCGCTTTTTCTTCTGTATGCTCGGCCACCTCGTCATACCCTAGATACCGTCTTCCCGTTTATGGACCACCATGATTCCGGTATATCCGAGATCGTCTGCCGTGCAGAAGAAGCCTGACGTCTTGCTTACCTGCTCACCCTCGCTTCGCAAAATCGCTCGAAGACATGTTTTGACCGTCAACGTCGACACGTGACGTATAATCACAGAGACCACGTGTTGCTGTGGACGCCGAATAGGAAACGTGAGTTGTGTGAAAAATTGCTGGCACACTATGCGGGACCTTATGTTTTTCTATACCACTTAAGCGATGTAACTTACTGGGTAGCACGTCTTCATTCAAATGACCGATAATCTGCAAAGAGTGAACTAGTCCACATAGCACATTTAAAGCGCGATATTCCCAGAGAGACTCTTTAACTCGCCCGGTGGGCTTCGTCTGCGCGGAGGGAAATGTTACTGCATATGTGATTTGGGTGCGAGCCTGTGGGTAGCGGGAAACAGGCAAATTAGAGAAGAGGACGTTCGGCTAGCGATATAGGCCTCCGGTGCACGGCCCCTTGAAGTCTACGAGTACGCCACAGTGCATTACTAAACGTAACAATATGACAAACACACAATAACACAACAAACACACAATAACACAAAAAGGCGTCGTCGCCAATACTTCACTCACCACGTGGGCCTACCGCAGGCGGCCCGCGGTGCCGTCCACGGCAGACCCACCGCAAGCGACAACTGTTTGCGGCAGCCGCCACACGCAGAAGAGACTCGCTCAACTCTCGCCCGCCACCAAGGCTCGCTTCCGCCAGGGGACACTGCCGGCGCTACCCCATGATGATGACAACGATAATGGTGCTCAACACGAATACGCCACCTGTAGCCCGGCAGTTATCACCCGAAATGCGGCTTTGGGGCAAGACACATGCACCACACAGTGCAAACAACATTACAGGGGGTGTCAGCACCCCCACAAAACACACAGAGACAGTAGACACAGTTTAACAAAACCAAACATTGCGTTTGGTTTTGTTAAACCTACATTTACATCGACGATGGCGCTAGCTGAACCAAATATCTCACTATGACACACTAAAACACCCTTATACAATGTTCCAATATACTCGGTCAACATAACGATAAACACAAGGTAACATGACAGTGGCGTCGCCAATGCTGGATTCACGAAGAAGGGATCCACGGGACAGGACTCGCAGTTGCCGCTTTTTGCAGACTCCCTCAAAGGACGTCCTTTTCGATAGCCGCCCTACACCTAAATAGATCCCTAATCAGTGTTATTTCTTCCTCCATGCCCTAGTCTCTTCAGCGTGGCCACCAGGCTGCACTGCAGGTGCTACTGCATTAACCATAATGATAATAAGAGACCCACGCAAGTACTGCGCCATGTACCTACCGCTCAGTGGATAAACCTAAATGTGGCCTATCTGTGAGTGGCTGATTGGGCTAGTTATAGTTAGTTCAGCGTGCGTAATGTTCAACAGCATGAAAAAATTCACGGCGGACAAGAAAAGCCCTTGTCCCGTCCTTTTCCTGTGCGCTATGTATTTTTTCGCGCTGTTAAACATTAACTATCTGTGAGACCCTTGTGTGCCACGAGGCACAGATGATTTTACCGGGGGTGATAGCATTTTTCATGCTTGAGGTGTCAGTCCATCTGGGTTTTTTTTTTCCCCCTTTTTTTTTTTTTTTGTAAAAGCCTTGTCCCAAAGGGCAACTCGGCTGCACTTTCTTACTATTATAAATATGGCCATGTTATATGTATTCCTGTTCCAGCTGGGTTGGTTCAATGCACTTGGAGACTCGTCAGTAATACTAGGTAACCAAAAAGTGAGGTGTCAGAATCAAAACAGGTAGCTGCTTAGTGCAGTGCCTACAGTGATGACATTGAATACATGGCCGCAAGGAAAAAGCGCTGTTTTTGCTAGAGGACAAATTGATGTGGCAAAGTAGTGACTAGCTGTTTATTATTATTATTATTATTATTATTATTATTATTATTATTATTATTATTATTATTATTATTATTATTATTAAACTGTGGTCTACCTGCTATGAACAGGGTGCGTATAGGCTCTTGATATCCTTGAAACCCTTGAATTTGAAAAATGCATTTTTAAGACTCTTGAAATTCTTGGAATTTTTTTGCCATCCTTGAAAATCCTTTAATTTCATGGACAGTGCACTCTCATATCGATAATTGCGACCTCCTACATGTGGTAGATTGATGTGTCAACTTGTCAAACACCATATTTTCAAAGCAGTAATGCGGCTTGGTTGCACATGGTCCCCTTTCATTAAAGTGCATGTGAAAAAAAGAAATGTGGTTAAGGCAAAGCAGAAAGTGCAATAGCAGAAAATTAGAATGTCACACGAAGAAGTGTAAGCAAAACCATACATGCAATGCGACGCTCAAGCACAGAGGACGCACGAAAAGAAAGCGCACAGGGCGAATGCTGATGAACAACTGTCACATCTCGGCACTGGAAACTTACTGCTTAAACACCAAAAAAAGATCTAAGTCAAAAGTTCGATGAAAGTTCATCTGGTCAGGCATTGAATGAGATGAAACACGGTCAGGGAATGTGTTTCATTTCACCAACAAGGATGCTAGAAAAGAACACACATGTATCCGCAGCATGAGTGTAAATTTGCTACTGTCACAGTTGGTAACCTTGGTTGTTGAGCAATGTGCTGCATGTGTCGATTGTGCACAAGCCAACACCTTTAATGGGGTGGTGCCATCAAATTTCAAGGCAATAGCAAGCAGCATGTGGGTTTTCTCCATATATGCAACAACACTCTACATGAATGGTCAGATCGGTAATCGCTTGGAATATATTTTAAGTTACTATCCTAGTGTACCTAAATGCCCATTCTCCTAATCAAGACCCGTCGCGAACGTGTCTAACAGTGACGTAGCCCTATAGAAAGGTCAACGAAAGTTGTAGTGACGTCGCACCAGATCTGCAGGGAGGTGAGTGACCTTCGGACTTCCGCCACATACATACCAGCAAAGCATCGCGACAGCTGCAGCTAGCGGCGCGTTTGTATTGCAGGTGCTTGTGTGCCACATGTGTGTGACAGCAGACGATACTCGACATGACGCGTGCAGAGCTTTGTGATCACAAGACTAAGTCAGCTACACTGCTACATCCCTGCCCGACTCTGCGCCCACAAACAGGAACTGAAAAATGTTCATATCAATAAGGCGATAAATTATATAGCGGGAATAAATTAATCTTGGTGCATGTATCGGCCCTGTTGGAGTTAATGCTTGCAGCAAAAAACGCACAAGCCACAAGTATTGTGGCGCCAATTCTTTAAGGCCTGACTACACATATGCCTTGCAACCTGTCAGCGTGCACCTTTCTGACACGGCATCGTGTCCTTTCTCTATAGAGGGAGAGGGTGCCAAAAGTTGTCAAGATTACATTTCTCTTTGTTGTAGTTACGATATTCAACTGTGGAAACCTGTGGGAACCCTGTATGAACACTGAGATATAATAACCAGATGCTGCGTGACACTCAGTCTCCCCAAGTGGCCCGACTGCAGTTGCCGCTTGTTCGAGCGAGATTGAAACTGTTAAAATATGGACTTGCCACATTTTTCTTTGTGTATAAGCAATACTAATCTTGGATCACTTCTTTGGTAAACTGCAGACGAGAACAGAGGCGTCGTGGCTGCAGCACCCAAGAAAGAGCTGCACCGGCAGTTGTCATCCGAGGACAAGACCCACCTTGTGAAAAGCCACCATGCAAAAACAGGTCACACCAAGCACGCCCATCAGCCAAAGCATGCTGATGAGCATGGAATGTCTACTGTCCCAGCTGTCAAGCCCGTGAGTTGGAACATCAAAAATAGAGAGATAATGAAATGGGCAGCTCTTTGTCTCATGCTCAGTCACGGCAGGAGGCTACGTAAATGGTTTTTAAATTAGCTCTGTTGTGTGAATCTGATGTACTCTATGGCGTGTTTAGTATGTGACCTCAGTAGCGGCATTTTATCAAGATTGAAGTGGTGCTGACACAACATGTCGTGGCCGAGATGTCCTGCGAAATCGATTCCCGTGAACATGCATATTTCATCTGCAAAATATCAACAGCTTATGCAGTGTCACGGAGTCGTGATTTGGACAAAGGGAGTAGACTGCAGGTTGAATAAACTGTTTATTTAGGTGAACCAGGGCCCATTAAGGGGAGACACTGGTATGAGTTTTTTTTTTAATTTTCAGTATTTCCAGCTGAAATTTTAATACAATATGTATTTTTCACAGCTGAAAACAAATATGCAATTAGTTTTTTTGCTATCACTTTTAGATTTTTATATATTGACTGTTACATAAACTTGCATTCTGCCCAGCCTTTTGACATCTTCCTCATAAAATATTGCTACGAATTTGATATGACAGCATTCCATGAAGGCCAGGGAGTGCAACAAAACCATAATTTTATTTTTAGCTTCATTGGTACAAGAGTTATGGCCTTAACAAGTATACTCATTATAAATCTGAAACTGTTGCTTAAGTTTGTTGCTAAATAAATCACTTGTTAAGAAAAATATTACATTTTTTTGTTTTCTTGCACTAATCAATGTATAAGCTTTCAAATGCTGCAAGAATTATCAAAATCCGACTGCTACATCAAAAGATACTGTGGGCAATGGCTTAGGGTGTGATGAAAAATGTTGTTCTGAGAAAACGAGAAAAGAAGTTTAGGAACATGCTGAGCACTTATATTTAACAAGAAAAAGTGTAAATCGGTGTATTAACCATGTTAGAAGCCACCAGGAATGTAGTCATCATCATTCTCCTTGGTGTGCTTTCTTTTCATGGCATGCTTGAAGTTTTCAGCATGCTCATGCTTCTTCTCCGATGCCACTAGTCGGCGACTGTCCCTTTCTGAGCATCTTTCAGCGGTGACAACACTCTGCTGCAGGTGCAGCTCCTTCAATATGGCGGCATCTGCCCTCCCTTTGCCAGCGTTGAACCTTGCGACAGCTTCGGCCACAGCAGCTTCAACGGTGATAAGCGACGCGTGTTTGTTTTTGGACACGAGCGACCAGATGACGGAGTGCAGGCTCTCGTTTGGGTTCTGTGTTTTGCCTCGCTGACAACGCTCCAGCAATTTTTTGTCAGAGAGGCGCGTGTAAATAGGCCGCAAGGCATCAACCACATACTCCGGCAGGTTGTGGTGATGATTCGGAGGAGTCTCCTGCTTGGCAACAGCCTTGTTGTACTTTCACCATGACTCTTCACCAGTTGGGCAGTGAGAGTGCTGAGGGCTTGCATCAGTAGATGCTACGTGATAAAAGGTTGCTCAGACAGAATTATTCATGGCCTCAATGCTTCCTTGGTTGCTTTGTAAAGCCCATCCATAATATGGCGTGAGCTTTGGGACCAGCTCGCCTGTCAGTTTGCCCTTGCCGCCAAGGCTTGGCTTTCCTTCGGCTCTTTGTTTTTGCAGGAGGTTTCGAAGTGCTGTGCCCATGCGCTTATGCACATGGTTGACACAGTCCTCTTTTTCTATTGGCACGAAGCCATATACCTGTGCCTCCTGCAGACTGTTGAAGGCCCGGCTGTCTCTATCACACAACATGGTTGTGTAGCGGAGCCCATGTCTCTCCAATGAGCGGCCAAATAAAATTTGTGCTGCTTCCGCCTTCATTTGTCCTGGCTTACTGGAGGTATTCTTTTGGCAACTGTGACCAGCTAGCCACTCGGCATACCTTGGGTTGTCCTCCTTCGGCCCCAGCTGGCAGCCCAAACAAAAGTTCGATAGGACGACGAAGTCAAGCACATAACCCGTGAATAGTTCAATCACAGTCCCTACACAAATATGGGATGAGTGGCCCCTGGTCAGCCAAGTTCCATCAAAGGAAACGGCGATATTTCCAGGATTTCCATAGTTGAGTTCGGAATACACCATTTTCACGGTGCTCGCGCAGTCGTCAATAACGCGCACGGCAGCCTTCTGCGTGGCAGGGTTCATTTTCAATTTCACATGATCCTGGTATGTCTTGGTGTGCAGGCCTCTCCGTGAAATAGTTAGGGCGGAAAAAATATCGTTGAGCGCAGTTTGCCCGTTTCCTGTGCTCATTGCCGCGCGAACCGTGAGCATGTTAATTTCGAAAGGGCCGTGCGCTGCGTCCTCCCCTGCTCTCGGGGAGCTCCATACGGTCCTCAGTTTACCGCACTCGTCACATGTGAGAACAAGTTTCGCGACTATGCTTTATTCGTGGTCTTCCTTGGAGATTCTGCCAGGCCCGCCACACACACCGCACTTCATACACTGAAGAAGTTCGTTGACCAACTCTAAGCTAACGACGGTGAACGGCGTACCAGGCGTTGCGGCTCCATCCGAGTCTCGAAAAAAACACCGCTTGCATTTTGTGGCAGACTTCGATGAAGATCTTGCAGAACATCGATCGCACGACACTCGATGGCCACTTTTTCAGCGTCGGAAACCAGAGGAGTGTCGACGCGCACAGCTCTCGTGTGATCTTGGGACGCGGCTATCGCGATCACGGGTGCTGCGGCGGTGATAGCGCTGGCACAGCCTGCTTCTTCCGAGTTCTCGGCGGCAGAAAGTCTTGCTGGTGATAAGGTGCGGGCTCTCGGACGCCGTTTTCGCATTTTTCCGAACGCATGAGCACTCCGGAACTTCCGATGACCGCCTGCCATTGCACCGAATGCGCAGCTGTTGTTAGGCCTCTACGCAAAATGGCGGCTTGCACGCCGCTGTCTAGCATACGAATCCCTTCGCGTCCAATCGGAAACCGGGAACTGCCCCACGCGACAAAAACACACCAATGATGTGCGAGTATTCAGTTTTTCTCTTTATGCGCGATAGCTGTATTGTTGCTAGACGAAAAACGTTCTTCTGCTAGGAATAGATAATAGAAAAATGCGTCTTTAAAGTGAGGCCAAAATGGCCGCGCTACTTGGTGCAGTTCTCGCGCGCTGCGGCGTTGAATACGACTTTTTGAGGTGGTTTAAGCAAAAATGGTCATCAGACTGACTTTGCGGCCCAACAACTCGAGAAATACGCATTACAGGGCTATAATATTTTAGGAACAGCTTCCTTAGACCTTAAGGATTATAAAAAAAAATATTTCATGAAATCGGTTTTTCGGAAAAATTTCGGCCTCCCATACCCGTGTCTCCCCTTAAACGAAAAGTCTGATCACGTAGCAGACTTGCACTGATAGCTGCGAACGGAGCGTCGGCCGTCGATCAACTGATAAGCGGCAAGGCATGTCAGCATTTGTACACTTGCCATTGAACATTCTAGCGTTACCCTAGCCGCAATGAAGGTTCCAGAATAAACTGTGGGTAATGTTCACAAAGTGGGCGTAATCTTAACAAAATGATTCACTGCCGTCCCTAAGCTTCTTGAACAGTGCAGGCGCGGCTTGTGCTGAGAATTACTGACAGCAAAACGGGGGGCGGGGGGGGGGGGGAATAACAAAACTTGAGAGAATGTGGCAATAGCTTGGAAAGTATTTCAAGTTAATTTATAAGTTTGCATGAGTGATCGACTCCGTCGCTCTATTGAGATCATCAAAGGGGACCCTTGGGGACCCCCTGCTTCTCGCGGCCATTTTCTTTTGGTCGCATCTATTACTTGACAGTCGCTCGCGACTCCGTGGCCACGACGCAAGAGTTGAAAGGTTTGTGTTTGATGACGTTCCTGTCCCGTTTTTTGTTTTGTCCCGTTTTTTGTTCTTGATGCGAACCACGCGAAAGTGCATCACAGTTCTGTGTGCTGACGTGGTTGAGTGTAGAACCGGCTAGGTGGTAAAAGTTGCCCCTGGTAAGTTGTCATTCTGAAACTGAAACTGAAGCTTGTCTGTAATAACGAGTCTGTAAATAATTATCTGTCGTCGGCTGCAGAAAATAATCTGTCTTGTAATGACTAAGAAGCCTCTGGGAACACATTACATTAAAAAAAAATGCAAGGCCAAAACTTACACAGAAATTTTGGCCTTGCGCTTCGTGCTGTGATGTGTTCCTGGTGGGCCTGGTAGTCTTAACACAGAACATCCCCTTTGAGGCTGTCAATAGCTAGATGGAGTGGAGCACTCACACAAACTTATAAATTAACTAAAAATACCTTCCAAGCTATATTCACTGTTGATACTTTAGATATGATATACGCATCATCAGAGGAATCGATCTAGCAGTCTATCTCGGCTGCGAAATTTTGTGTCAGTACCCCTTTAGGGGGGACATGGTGTGTGGAGATATTTTCTGTATTTGTGGAGCAAACATGATTAAAATATACATGCTTATGTAGTTGCTCCTTCTAATTTCAAATATGCAAAAATTTTCATTGTAGCTCAATTAATTTAGAAGATACACAATGCTGCCACTCTATTGTTTTCAGAGACAATAGGAAAGAAAGGGCTTATCAAATAGGAAATATTATTGCATAGCTAAACAGTGCAATGCTGCAAGCAGGTTTCAAATTAAAGAAAAACAAGTGATTCTGCAGATGATGAAAGTTGAGGAGTCATGTCATGGCTATCACATACAAAGATATTTAATACCTTCTGAATTTATATGGGCAGCGAAGGGAAACTCTGCTCTCCGCACTTTGTAATACACAGATTGAGCTTTACGTTAGTGAAAAAATTATTGCTATAGCTGTTCTAGATTGCAAGATATCAACCCGACAAACTAGCAAAGTCACCAAAAAGTATGTTTTCAGAAAACTGAGAAAAATAAATAAAACTCATTCATTTATATAACTGCACTTGAAAAGGCTCAGTATGCACCGGGCATGTAGTCCTTTTGACTATGAGTCCCTGTGTGGTGCTTTTTCAGCAATTGGTGCATGT